AGTTTGCTTCCAGGTGCTTCTCATCTGTGTGTGTTTCAGTCTTTCTACTGTCAGAAGACCTAGAGGTCCCAACCAAAAATGATCCTAAAAATGCTAGACACCAGTCAAGCTAAACAAAATATCAGTCATTTGATTAGAGTTGAAGTGAAAGACGAGACACAACATGTGAGGGAGGAGTGAAACAATGAGACAGCACATCAGCAGCCTCAAGTGTGAGGTGCTTGCAAAGTTGCTGGAACTTTGTTGAAGTACCAGTAGTGAAAGCAACAACTATATCTGGTTTTGGTGGCTCAGATAGAATATTACCAACCCTGGAGTAAAGCAAGTAACAAAACAAACCAAAAGCAACCTCCCCCTGCTCCTAAGAAACATTCATATCTCCCCACTCATGAAGAACTGCTTAACAGTAGAGGATTTCCTTCCTGTCCTCCTTCCACAACAGAAACCCTCTCAAACAAGAGTTCACAGATATTTACAAGGACCTGGCACATCATATATAGCTGCTGTTTAAGCATTTCTTAAACTGCAGTGAAAGCAGGAGTTGTGTGCCTTTTTCAATCTCACATTCACAATCATAACCAATATGTCAAATAAATTTACCCTATGCCAATGGCATGATGGGCAGAGCTGTTATATAGAAAGACATACACAGTATTATTTCTAGAAGTTGTACTTCTCATCTATATCAGTTGTTTTCCTGAGTGCTTCACACTAAAATAGCTACTAATTACATTTTAATGTGTTCTTTTACAATACAAAGCATTAACTACATCAGTGTACAGATTAGAGACAAAAACCTACTATGTTTCAGTTGATTTTGGCAGTAAGCTATGAAGCAGAAACTGATGTCAAAAAGCAAACCATAAATCATATCTACAAATGGTACCATAATTGCCAAAACCTCTACATTTTTAGGTAAACTTTTAGCTTACAGTTTAACTGCTATTATAGGAAAAAGGCCTCTACACAAAATTAACCTGAAACTGAACAAATAAATGTACTTGCCTACTGTGCAGAGGTTGAAACCTACCTGATAGCCTTGCTGATTATTCACGCACAAATAAACCCATTTTTGTAGAAGACACAAGAAACGGTTTTATTCTGCAATTAATCTGCTGTTATGGAGGAGAAGCTGTCATAGCAACAGCTATTTGCAATGTTCAGCATAACATAAGTTGTGTATTTCTTTTAAGTTCATGCTTATAGGAACAAGATATAGTCTTTTTATTAAAAGCATGCCATCATGATTTCAATGCTGGCAGTGATGGACAGAACCCATCACAACCAGCTCCAAACTGTTCCAACAGTTAATTACCGTGTCAGGAATAATGTCCCACTTCTGTCTTTGTCTAGTGTTAAGTTACAATTATTCAAGTTCATTAAACACCGACTTCTGCTGGACAGAAAGACCATCTACAATGACATAATTTTGCAATGTAGTTTCCTTTAGACCATGTAAACAACAATTATTTAAGATCCTTCTCAGCATCCCTCTACTGTTATCACAACTTTACTCTCCTCAACTTGCTAACATTTACATTTTTCTTCAAATCTGGATGTCCAAACATGACATAGCACTGCATCAAGAAGCCAAATCATATCTCAACTCAAAATCATACCGTCCCTTTTGCTGTAACTTTTCAAATCTGCTTGTTTTCACATTCAGTGTATTCTTTGATTTCATTTTTATTTAATTTTAAATCATTGCTTCTTCAGAGAATGGCCTATATGTTCTTTAATTTCCAAAGTAGTCTTACTTACTAGACCAGTGGTTCCCTACCACGTGAGGCACTGGGAAGTTACAAACTGATGAGAGGTTAGACAGACACCAACTGAATGAACATGTCTAAGCCCAAACTGGTTCCTGAAAGGACAGGCAGGACAGTGCCACCTCCCTGAGAACCTGTGGAATATAGAGCAGAGTACAATGTCCGAGTAGCTCTTGGCTTTGTTAGATGGGTTCACTTGGGGAAGACGATGGCAATCCCTGGAGGTACCCAGCTTTATGTGGCAGAGGAGCTAGACAAAGCAAAGCTTGAGACATTGTTGATTTTGTCAAGTGAAGTGTAGCTCTCAAAGGACTGGAAATCATGGCATTACAGTGTGTTAGAATGCATACATTTTGTTTATAGTTGGCATAATACAAAATGCACATTGGTTTATATAAATTATCTTCAATTTCACACTCCATAGATTCAATGGCTGATATCTTTCTGTTTATATTTTGAGATAGACATATTACCTCATTTAAGAGTACATTTATCATGTGTTATGTTAATTTCTGTGTTCTAATTTCTTGAAAAAAATATGGTGAGCATGACATTTATGGAAGTAAGTCTATTACTTTACCATTTTTACCTTCATCAGCCAGCTGGTAATCCCATCACAAGACATGAGTACTTAGTTTTTAACTTCCAGTTTCTGCACCTTTACAAAGACTGTAATTAACCGGTCTTACTCTTTTCCTCAAAATTTTTCTTCATTGAGTGTTGTTTCAATATTTGCATCAGATCAACAACATACTGATATACCCATAACTCAATGTGACATTTAATTTACTTTTTCTTTTGGTAAATATTAGCAGCTTTTTTTTCAAATCCCCTGGAATGCCCTCAGTGCCCTGAAAATTCTAGAAGAAAAACAAATATTGGTGGTTAAGAAAAATCCTCAGCCAATTTTTTTAAACTCTGCAGTTCAACATATCCTGGCTGGCTAATTTTAAAATGTCTAGATTTCATAGCTGCTGCTTCATGTACCCCGTTTAGCTGCTAGAACAGAACTATGTTATGATGCAACCACACATAGTTTTCCCCTCTAAACACAAACCAAAAGCACTTACTGAACACTGCTGCTCTTCCAATTACTAGTGATTTTTTTATTATCGCACTTATAGGCCAATAACAGCTGCATATTTGTTCTCAACTGACTTGAAGACTTGTGTGGCTTTCTTCAGCCATTTCCAGCATTTCCTACTTTTTGTTTATGACAACCAACACAAGCTTCCTGCTCTTTAAATTTTGGACATGCACATATACAAATGCACACTTATTATGTTTATAACGTGTACATCCACACACCTGCCTTCATTTTCCTTCAAAGTAGTTTTTAAATTATGATCATCTCTTTCAATTGTGGCTTTCACCAATATCTACTAAAACATTCTCAAAGATCTTCTGTTTCCCATTGAGTCCTGCAACTCACACAATGACATTCCAAATCCAAAAGGAAAAGGAAATGTAATGTAGGACTAAGAAACAGGAAAACTAAGATAAGCAGAAAAAAATCCAAAATTATCTGTATTATCTTTTTATGCCTTACATTCCTTAATGATCGATGTAGCTATAAGCTTCATTATCTGTTCATGCCACTCACCCCTGAATCACTATCTTTTTCATAGAGATAATCCGCCTCAGACCCCTTCTTTGCCTGTGAAAATCCTAGAAACACCAAGATATTCACTTCCTATCTGTGCTTTTCCATTGTTCATGGCAAGAGAAAGCTGGGTACACAGGAAGAGTATCAAATGGCCTAAGTAATACTCATTATGCAGGTTCAAGAATGCCATTACCTTGAAAAACTTGTGTCTGTTTTCCAAATAATTAAATTTACAATCTTCATATTATTTGCAAATTTTGCAGTTGAAAGAACTCTCTAGTCATGACCAAAAGTCTGAGTATTTTATCCCTCAAAAGCAACAGAAAGCACACTTTTGTTTACAACTCAAATAAAAATACAATTGCTATTTTTTTTCCCCTGATAACATTGATGAGTCCAGTCCCTCATGACTGCCTGAGTAGGGTAGTGGGGATTTGCTTTAATTTTTAAATACATTATGTCTATCTCAAAACTCACTGAGCTAGTTAAGTCCTACCGAATCTAGCAAAAGAATCAACAGCTTCCACTTTTCCTTGCTTTTTCACTAAACATACTTCTCCCCACCTTAACTGAACTGACCACATGCCACTTGAAAGCAAAGATTTCTGAACTGAAGACCATAGTACAATACACAATGATTTCTTTCCATGATTGCAACTTACTCCATTTGTTTGAAGCTCTGTCTAGTATATATTACATCAGGAAGTCCTTAACAAACAGGCTTATATGAGTTTACAAAGCTAAATACCACTGGTATCAGAGTCTTGAACACTTCTGGTTCACAGTACACACTGTAAACTTTTGTAACAAGTTGTTGTCTTGATTACCTTTACCTATGGTGGAAATAAAAAGCTCCAGTGAGAGAACCCATAGCCAATTTACACACCTGAAGGAAAGTTTTTATATATATAAAACTATATGGCAAGTACCAATGTAGTTTTAAAACTCTGATAGCATGTCTGCTCCATACTCCTACTAGTTTCCAAATATGCCAAAATTTCTTATGATTCAGAGTTAAATATCTTGTGTTGTAGAATAGGCAGCTACTGTATCCCATACACTTTACAAGTCTCTAGTCCTGGAAAAATTAGTCAAATTAAGTTTCATGAGCATCTTCATGGGACCAAAAATTCACTGACAAATTTAAATTAATTCTGCTGTAAATACAAAACAAATTTTTATTCTGTTTATGCACAAAACCCTTCTTGTAGCTTTTTAAGCTATATTGAAAGCTATCTCCGCTTTTTAAGCACTACTGAAACTGTCAGGAACTACATTTTAGGTTTTAGCCATCACTGCATACACATCATGATTCCTGGAATTTAAAATGGAATTGTTGATGGTTCAGATACTGTTAGACTGTCGTTAGTTTTGCAAAGTATGTAATTTGTCATTTTGGAAGAAATGACAGTACCTTCACTGGTACACCATGCTTTTAAACTTCCTCTCTCTAATTTGAAAATGCCAGTGTTATAGTATGCTTCAAGGGAGACATTTTTAAGGCTCGCACGTTGGCTTGTCACAGAGCAATTTGTCAGGTAGTATTTTGTCTTCATTAAGGTTTATTCACATAAAGTGATTGGCCTGTCCATGATTTTCCCCAAAGACAATACATTCTGTCTTACCTGATGGTAACGAGACCTGTGCTAAATTTTCACTTTCCTCATCAGTGCTGCCATCATAGTCATTTTCTCTCGCTGTAGCCACCTCAGTGGTAGCTACACTATCCCTAGTAAAAAAGGAAAAAAAGGAAAAAAAGCATATATTTGCCATCTATTATTTCTGCAAATAATTTATAATTATTAGGCAATGCAAGCTGATACCCATCAACACAGAGTCCCCATGCTGAACAGCTTAGCTTATTCATATACAAGGACAGACAATAAATGCTAAGTTAAGATATAAAAAAGCAGGTTAAAAAATAGCAAACAAATTCAGGTGTGTTGTAGCACTACAACGATTCATCTTCTCTGGATAGTTTTGAAATAAAAAGCACATAAAAACATTTAGATATTTTTGTTTCCCGAAAGACAAAAGGAATGAAATAATTCAGGGAGAATGCATATGAAAGTACCACCTATGGAAATGGCAGAGACATACACTCTGATTGGAAAATCAACTGCAACCTAACAGGAAAAAGAAAAGGACAGATTCATTGAATATTTAGTTCTTGGCTACAGCATCCAAAGCAATATGCTACTTAGCCAAGAACTGTCACCCACTGTTAGGGCCAAAGAAACGGAAATCAGGGTAAACTAAACTATGTATCAGGTATGATACCAAGTAACCCAGGAAAATTAAGAAATACCTTGTACATTTGGCATCTGCTGCAGATTCTTTAGCTTCGTTCAACAACAACTGTAACTTTCTTATCTTTGCCTTCTTTTCATTCAGCACCAAAATAAACCGGTTATAAAGATCTGCTTCCAGTTCTTCTTTAGCTTCCACACATTTTTCCAGCCTACAATGTAAAATTTATGGTTAAACTATTTATTTTTAAAATGTGTTTCCTGGGAGAAAAGTCTGTAGTGAGGCCACCCTTCCTATTAGAGGAATCCCCATACCAAACCACACATGACTAGTCCTGCACCTTGAGTCTGAAACACCAGAAGAAGCCCTTTTGCCACAGAAAAGCATCATGAACTTCGCTATCAAGAGACGAAAGTTTCCAAGGGGAAAATCTTCTCTTCATGCTTTTTTGATAGGTTCTTGCACGCATGCATCTGAGACAACTAAGATTTAAACAGGCACGTGTTCTTCAGTTTCTATGCTGAATTCACCATAGTGGGCATACCTTAGCAGGATACCCGTAATGAGATTACAAATAGATATGATTAAGCTTGGCAGGTCCCAAATCTGGATCACACACTTTGACTTGAAATATATTTGAACAAAAAAAAAAAAAAAAAAACAACACAAAAAAATCACCCCCAAACCCCCCAATAAATAAGCAACTCCACTCCAACATGGGCTGAGATGACCACCTAACACTTTGGGCAACCAGGACAGCTCAATAACTCGTTCCTTGCAAGCACTCCCCAGCAGATGTGGGTGATACTGGTCAGGTCAGGCAGATCAGACTCTGCCTGGCCATTTTCCATCAACAGCCTTGTTGCCATCAACATGTCTTGATCTGGTAAGCTGGTAAGGCACAGAAACCAGTTCCTGGCAAAGCTCAACAGGACACTGCAATAACACCTGAAGGCAACTGTAATCCCTTACAGGCATTCAGACAAACACAGTGCTAGTAACTCCAGTGCTGCAGACCATTTCAAATTATACAGATACTTGCAGCCACC